CACACACACACACACACACACACACACACACACACACACACACACACTGGCCAGCTCTCATAATATCTCTTCTGGTTTCAATGAGCTATTAATGAGTCTCATTAATGGAGGACTCATTAATGGACTCATTAATGGAAACTTTGGGGATGCATTTTCCTCAGTTTCTAAGAAGAGAAAAAAAAAGGAATCTATTTCTAAACAGAAAAGAAAGAGAAAAATAAAGAAGAAAAAGAAAATGGGAACAATGGTTACCAGTTTAAATTGTGGTCTCTTCTCTCCTTTGGTGTGCATTGCAAACCTTTTTAAAAAGAACTCTGGGCCTCTAAGAGGTAACCAATTGAAAGTTTTATGACCAATTTTGGGCCAATTTTTGAGGTCATTTATGTGAGCTGGAAATATCTGTATATCTGTTTTCTTCCACATAATTCCAAAACAGATGAATGAGCTCAGCTAGAAATTGCTCAGAAAAGTCACCTTGGGGCAAAGATTAAGAAAATAAATGTTTTAGTAAAATAATAGAACCAAATACTCAAGCCCAACCACACCCTTAAATCTCTTCTGCACCTGGAACTTCTTTTGAAGGAAATTGCTTGAGTACTAGGAGATTGTGAGTGTAGGCAGATGGAAATCTGGTCCGTGGAATATAAAAAGAGAGAAAATTCTTTAAACATCAGTGAGGTTATGGAATTCTGAGCAGTAGACAGTAGGAGCTTTCTAAAAGTAATTCATGGAAAACCCTTCTTTTGGTTTGTTTTTATTCCCCTGATTTGTCTCTGAAGAATTACAAAATCTAGTTAAAGAAAAGGAAACAGAATAGAATGATGATCTTGGCCAAAATGCTTTAGAATTCATCGGAGAGAATTCAGGAGAGAGCTAGACATACAGACATGGGGAGGGTTTCTGGCATATGAAATCCAGGGCAAAGAGTTCTTTTAATGTGGAGATGTTACCAGTATTGGGGCAGGATAGGAAGGTTTATGGAGAAAAAATACCCTATAATTATATGTGTTTGTGTTTTATCACAAAGTTATGTAATTGTTAAACTATAAGATCCATGAGTTATGTATCTCCTCCAGAACTTACCACAGTCCTCTGCACATGGTAGACACATAAAGGTTAAAAGAATGAATGTTCATGTTCAAAGATAGAAAGTGTCTCTAGTCAGGGGACATGGGGTCCAAATTGGATAAACAGTAGCAAAGGGGCGATCTTAAATTGAAGAATGAGTGGCCCAAGTAAAGAAAAGAGACTAGGTTGAGTTAACTTGTTCCTTCCAGCTCAAAAATTCTTTGATTTAGGGAAGGGAAAGAGAAGGTGAAAGGGAAGGGGAAGAGGAAGGGGAGGAAAGGAAAGGAAAGATCCATCTATATAGTGCCTACTATGTGTTAGGCACTGTGCTAACAGCTTTTTATAAATATCATCTCATTTGTCCTCACAACAACTCTGTGAGATAGGTGCTATTATTATCCCCAGTTTAAAAATGATTTAATGATAATAATGACAGTTAACAGACTCTTTTTTTTGTTTGTTTGGTTTTTTTTGCTTAGGCAGTTGGGGTTAAGTGACTTGCCCAGGGTCACACAGCTAGTAAATGTCAAGTGTTTGGTCTGAGGTCGGATTTGAACTCAGGTTCTCCTGACTTCAGGGCCGGCGCTCTATCCACTGCACCACCTAGCTGCCCCAACAGACTCTTAAGAATTAAAAATGAATATCACACAGAGTGGAAAGCTCTCATCCATGGCAGATGTGAACAGGCTACACTATTTAATCAATGAGGTGAAGAACAGAAATTGAAGAGGTCCTCTATGAAGTATATGATAGGAAGAGAAGATAGGCTGGTAACTTGGCAAGAATGAACTGTAGCAGATGGGCAGCCAGAGCGTGCTCCTTATCAAGTTGGATTGATTCCCCGTGCAAACTTTTGAGAAGACATGGACAAGTGTCACACAGCATGGGCAAGCATGAATGGGTTGCTATCTGCATCATTGGAAGGAACTTCCAACTGATATGATCATATATGAGTATGTCACCCCCCCATCTGAGACCATTCCTCCAACTCATACTTGCGCTAGCACTAGAGGGAAGCTAACTACTTACTACTTTCCTCGAGATTCTAGGGATCCTGTAAGGGCTGAGGTTTTTATTACTTGTTGCTCATAAACCTCTCCTAGTGTTCTCATTATTTGTTGAACAGTTGACTACATTGGCATTTAGAAAAGATTTTACCAAAAAGGTATAGTAAGAACAGTTGTTACAAAATATTCTCCCCACATCAAGGACACACTCATCCTTTGCACATCCTGGGGAGCAAGAGTTCGAATTTAAAGTACAACGATCCAAGGCACATGTGTCCAAAGGGTATTTTCCTACTCCTTTTTTCCATTCACGGACTTGTCATGAATTTCCCCTTAAATGCACCTCTCTGCTAGGCTCCAAGGAGTTAGTCCCTTTCTAAAGTCCATAGCCAGCTCTTCTCTCTTCAAAGGTCATGCCCTCTGAAGGTGCCACTGTCTTTGGGGGTCTCTTTTCACATCTGTCTATAGGAGTTTCCTCTGTCAGCAGCCACTTCCACTCCAGTAGCCACTGCTATGAACTTTGCTATCAACTCTAATTACTGGGGGGATCTCTTATGGGATCTCCGGATCTCTGGGACTCACTCAGTTGCTTGAGCATTCTTTTTTCAGGATACTCATTCACCTAGGATCATGAAAGAATAAATACAAAAGAAACAGAGGCAACACATGCTCATGCACACATGGTAGCTGGGTGGGAGAATTCAACCAGCTGTCCTTTTCCCATCTGTCAGCTCTCACTTGACACCAGGAAGCAAAAGATTGACATGATGGATGAATCTAAGGGTATGTTGGTAAATATTTAACATCTGGCCCCCTGAGGAAAAAAATATTCATATAACACTTTAAGTTTAATCTGCATTATTAACATTTTCTTCATCATTTTCCTAAATCGAGACTATTAACAAAACAATAAATCTAGCCCTTGATTTGTAGTATTTACCATCTGATATATAAATGCTCACACTGAAATTTTAACAATTGGCTCTCATGAACCAGTATGAGCTGAATCCAGCAAGCCCACAACTTGGTCCTACTGTTTGAATGTACATTCAATCTTGGTCTAGCTACTCCTGAGTCATTTTTTTCCATTTTTAAAGACATCTAGAAGATTTTTCATCATCACATAGTACACCCTGAGTCATCATGGCCAGAAACTAGCTCCCAAAGTTTCGCATGTTGGATTAGAACCCAGCAAACAATGTCTGTGCATGCCCCAGGAAGGGCAAAGCTGAGCATAGTCATATTTGTTGTGATATTTGTATTTGAGTAATAACAGTTAACAACAAAAATTTCTTGAGCTCCCACTTAGTACAGATGGAAATATAAAGCTTAGATGATGCCCTCTGCCCTCAAGGAACTCCAGTAATAATTTACATTTTAGTAGTACTTTAGCCTGTGTGTGTTGGAGCCAACTCTAACTAGGTTGGGAGAGAGCCCATTGTTAAATTTTCAGTGAGAATGTTTCTGTCTCAGAATGCTATATGAATCAGGGCTTTATTTATTATTTTACTGATTATTTTAACAAGAGTTAATACTGCAGATTAAACTCATATGTGAATTGCATGCATTTTTTTTTCTGCAGAGACTGATTGTTAAACACTTACTAGCACACTTCTGTATTGCTCCATAAACATTGCTTGAGCTCAGCAAGAGTACAATAGAAGACCGAGGGAACGAAACCATCTCCTGACTGGAACCTGATGACTGCAGACTAATATTAAAAATACTAATAATTATGATAACTCTAATTCCTGGCATTCATATAGAGCTTTAAGGTTTGCAATGTGTTTTCCATCTCATCTGAGCCTCACAACACCCCTCACTTTAAGTACATTAATTTGTTTAATCCTCCCAACAGTCTGGGAGAAAGGTATTATGTCTGGTAGATAATGTATAATTCTTTCTAGGAGGAAAATTATCTCTATTTTACAGAAGAAGAAAATGGCTGAAAGATTATTGTAAATAAAATTGTGAGACCCCACATTTGTCAAAGGCCATTGCCCTCAGGATCATCTTTGGCAGTAGTCAATAGGACACTTGGTAGGATGAATCTCAACTGTATCACAGCTTTCTCCTCATTAGGAGAGAAGGGTTTTTTTGTTTTGTTTTGTTTAGCTTCCAAAGTTTTAACTCCCAAGACTAAATTCTCTTGGGACCCAGACAATCCTATATTAGAGCTTTAAGGTACTTAATCTATCTTTTAAAGTGACTTCCTTCTGCTGGCAAGATTGAAGTCACTGTCCCCAGCTGCTGTCTGATTTAGGGTTAGAAAGTCCCTGAAACTCAGTTCTTGATTGTCAGCCTGAATTACCCTTCAAACCATTTCAGGGAGCTGCATTCCAACAAGTCTCAAAGGGTTATGTGAGCCTGAAGTACTACAACTGCCCCTGGCCTTCTACAATAATAGGAAAATAAATCTAAAACTTGGAGGGAACACAGAAGTCATCCTGTTGAACCCTTTTATTTTACAGATGAGGAAACTGATGGCCTAGGAGGAAAAGTGACTTGCCCAAGGCTACGTAAGTAGTGATCATTAAGAACCAAGACTAAAATCCTGGTTCTCTAACTCAAGGGACAGTGCTCTTTCCCTCGTACTAAGCTGGCTTTCCTATACAAATGATGCTATGATGCTAACATCCACTTCCAACCCTTTGTTTTAAATTCCTATTTTTAACGTGTAATTGTAGCTGTCAACAAACATCCAAAGCTTTGAACTGCTGTACACTTACATGGAACCAATCTAAAAAAAAAGACAGGCAGCATATTGTTATGGCAAAATTAGTTTCTTAGGGATTCTTCAGACTCTGGACTGCCAAATCTTGCATAAGACTGCTTGGGTCATAGCGTTGCATTTCGATTGAGATTTGTTACCATTTATTCTAGGAGGTCCATGTCAGGAGCTCTGACAAGTAGATATTCAAATATAAGAGGAGATATCTATGCTAAGAAGTATGGATTTCCTGGGTCTTCAGCATATGCTACTGCATTGATCAAGTTGTATTTAATTTTACTATTGTAATTCATTTTATTCCTATATGAAGTCATACTCTGTTGCTTCCTTGTGGTGTGGCGGTGACTCTGAGTTCTGGAAGGATAAGCCAATGTGGCCCAAGTTTTAGTAGATTCAATCATGTTTTTAAGGCTTTGATATGGTCCCAGTGACAGGCTGAGTCAGCTATCTAAGGACTGATTTAGCTAAGTACTAAGAGTCTCATTAATAATAGATTGGCCACTAAGTGTTGAATTATTTGACTATAACAACTCATGAAACAAATAAAAATTATGAATGACCTGCAGTCCTGTGTCATCCCCTTTCACTTCCATGATGATGGGAAAAAACCAGGGGAGAGGCATAGAGTCCTATAAATCATCTAGTCTTTAAGCAGTTAATAAATATTGACAAACTCTAAATGTGTGATTTCAGTCCAGTGACCAATTACTTTACATATTATTGGAAGAATTGAGCTAAATCATTACTGATATCCTTACAATAAATGAAACTGAGAGATAAAAAGAAATTATAATTAAATGGAGTGATGGCTCATACATTCTCCTTGCAGAGGCAAACAAAGAAGCTGGCAGCATTGGTTCCATTGTAAACCCAAAGGCGACAAGAAAGATCATTTCATGGGAAACTTGCTCATCTCATCTTGTAGTATTTATTATGAGCATAAGCAAATAGACCACCATGAAGATAATTATAGTTTATGTGCCAACCAACATCTGTTGCAGAGAAGAAGAGGTAGAGAAATCCTATAATGATCTTAAAAAGATTATCCAGAACAAGTCTACATATACTTTGATACTTGGTGATTGTAATGCAGAAGTGGGTAAAAGTAAGAAGAGATGAAAGATATCGGTTCAAAGAAACCTGGGAAGATTTGTATGAACTGTTGCAGAGTGAAGTGATCCAAACCAGGAGAACAATAAAAATAACGTTGCAAAGACAAACAACTTTGAAAGACTTAGGAACTCTGATCAATGACCAACAATCATGCAATCATGCAAAGGACTAATGATGATCTATATGATTGAGAGGTGAGAGATTCAAGATGCAGGATGCGACATATATTTTTGGATGTGGACAATGTGGGGATTTGCTTTGCTTGACTATGCATGTTTGTTACAAGGGTTTTGTTTTTCTTTTTCTTTTCCATTGGTGGGGGAGGGGAAGAATGGGAAGGAAAGAAAATAAATTCCCGTCTTTAAATCTATAAACTTATGAGCCATTGATGCTGAAAATGGGAAGTGAACAAAGATAAAAATATTGACTTTGATTAACTAATATAAAGCAGTCACCACAATGAAAACGCCAAAAGAGTCTAGAATGTTTCTTAAACTGCAAACTCTTGATATACTTGCCAGACACTTGGCAGCCAAGAGCAATTTAGTTTACAAACTTATTTGTAAAACACTACATAGGAAGGTGGTGAAAGATTATGATCAATATTGTTTCATAAAACAGTAAAATGCAATAAAAATAAAAACATGTCTACAGAACAATTGTTCTGATACTTTCCTAATCTAAGATGATAAAGTCTGGATGAAATGGCTAGAGGACAAAAATTGAGAGTAAATGGAACAAATTTGTCAATGACTCTATAATAATTTATTTTCATCTTTAACAATGGATCCACCCTGTTTGGACTAGAACGCTTCACTCCCAAATGTGGCATCATAAGGAATAAAAGTGGGACTTAACAAGACAAAATAGGAAAGAGCAGGTGAATTAGACTAAGTCTATACTAAGGAAGTTCATGCTGAAAGTGAAAGAATATGGAAATCATTGAGGGCTTGTTTTATAAGGTATCTCAGGCAGAGAAGATACCAAAAGCATGAAAGAAATTACAGGTGACATTATTATTATTATTATTATTATTGCCTCCAAAAGGCAATCAAGAGAGTATCAATAACAATTTACCTATATGCATACTTTTTCATCTTTACAAAACCTTTTTGAAAATGATCTATATATTTATCAAAGGTACTTTTAATGAAAATATGAGAAAGGAGCAGGGTGTCTTTCATAAACTTTCCTCCAAAATAGACTGCATCTTATTGTTTTTCCCCTAATTATTTTATTTATGCCTTTTAAAAAAAAAACTTCATCTCCACCATTGTATCACCTTGTAACAAAGAAAAATTGAGTCAAACCCAACCAGCAAAGTAACCATTCATAGTCCCCAACCTTCATCCCAAGGTGAGAGAAGCATATTTCTTCTTTTTTTCTTTTCCTCTGGGACTTAAATTGGCTATCAATCAATCAATAAACATTTATTATGTGCCTACTATATACCAGTATGTGCTAAGCCCTGAAGATAAAAAAGAGGCAAAAGACAGTCCCTGACCTCAAGGAGCTTACAGTCTAATGGGGGAGACAACATGCAACAAATATATACAAAGCAAGCTATATACTGTACAAGATAAATAGGAAATAATTAACAGTGGGAAGGCATTAGAATCAAGAGGGGTTGAGGAGGCTTCCATTAAAAGTGGAATTTTAGTTGAGACTTAAAAAATCGGGGGAGGACAATAGTTAGAACTGAAACATCATAATTGTCATCACAATTAATAAAGGATCACACCTTTACAGTCACACAATTGACTAAAAGAGTCAGAAAATACAAGATTCTGCTGTGCATTGTTTATTTTTTTAAAGTATTGGACTCAATAAAGCAAAATGGCATTAAAGTTTACACACTAACAGTAATTTATGTATATAAAAACAAATATAGACATAGATATATATAACCACAGCACTAACTCTGCTCCACTACTCTCTGATTATTGTCAAGCAAGACACAAAACAGAGATATATGCTCACTTAGGGTATTCAACAACCATCATGGAGGATACCCTGCAAAAAATCCAAGCAGGGGAAGCATTACCAAGAGATGGTAGATATCCTCTAGATGCTCCTCTTTGCAGGTAATATTGTGCTAATTGCATTGAGCCCCCAAAACATTATAGGACCTCTTCAATGAAATCCATGATTTTGCAAAAAAGAGGCTGACCACAATTCACACAGGAAAAAATATACGAATAAATAATGCCTGTTGTCCAGGCTTGGACATGCAGTTGGCTAGTTGATCACATTAATCCAAATATGTTACAGATAAAAATTGAATTGGGACCAAAATTGAAGAGGCAAACTATATTGAATGTAGAAAATCACATAATGCCTTCAATGATTCCAAGCTGCATCCCAGTGCAAAAATCCATAATTAAAAAACAAAACCAAACACAAATGTTCTCCTGGCAATACTCTATGCTTATAAATTCTGGGACACTGCAATGTCTGAAATATAAAAATTCTGGATGACACAGAGAAAAAGAAGCAAGTAAGTCATGTAATGAGAGCTAGCAAAAACTTGTGGACAGTTTGAGTGTAAGATTGATATCCACAAAATAGAAGACTTCTAGCACCTTTGGTAAATCCTCTATGGAGAATTTATAGGAGAATCAGCAATAATTGCCCAGGATAAGAAGATACATATGCATTGTAATCTGCAATAATGGTGGGAAAAATCAATATTGATGAGATCATCAATCAATGGAAATATTACAATATATTTAGTACTTAATAGAGTAGTGATCTCCATTTTAATAGCATTATCTCTATTGAACAGTATTAACAGCATTAACTTGTCTGGTGACATTTAGAATACTCTTAAAGTCTTTAACTAGATCAGTTTCCCTCTCCTGATCTTCAGATCTCACTAGCCAAAATTCATCAGACTTCCTGCTATTAGATAGACTCAATTGAATATGTTTCTTTACCACCAAAAAGACAAAAACTCAGATATACTATTCTAGAAGGCATTGACAAAGAAAACATCTTTGAATTCATGTCTTAGACTCCAAAATGGAAAACAAAGCCACCCTTATATTTTCTATTTTTAGTTGCTGATTGTTTTTCATAACAACTTTCAGACTAAAATCTAAAAGGCAAGAAGGGGTGTTTGATAATTGTTTCTTAAGTAAAATAAATCTAATTCCATCTGCGTGTTTGAACTGCAAATGATATTTTGTACCATAAAATTAAGAGGTTAGCCTTTATTTCAGAGAGCAGTCATTGCATTAAAACGAAGGAAAGAAGATATATCATTTATACATTTGGTTAAGCTGTGATATAGCTCAACCGTTTTGGAAAGCAATGTAAAATTACACAATGAAAGTTACAAAAATAGTCATACTCTTTGACTCATTGGTCCTACTACTGGGATAAGAAGATTATGGATGCCAGGTTTAGGGGCCTTCTATCTTAACAAAACTACCCCTAACAGCACTCTTTGTCTTAGCAAAAAGCTGGGGCGGGGGGGGGGGGGCCTAGATGCCCAACAATTGAGAAATCACTGACCAAATTTTGTCATAAGAAAGTTAAAGAATTTTACTATGCCATAAGAAAAGACAAACATTCCAAAAAATACAGGAAAAATGTGGGAAGACTTTGAGTATAATCTGTGAATGCAAAATGAAGAAAAGAAAACAAACCAAAAAACTATATACATATATGTGTATATGATTTATATCTATTTAAATATATACATGCACATACATTTGTATGTATGTATGTATAGGTAGATATAATTTTCTTTTGAGGAGTCACTTTTGGTCCAGGGTAGAAGAAGGGTTCAAATAGTATATCTTCATAATTAAAGACAATAACAACAATCCTTGTTAATTAATTCTTAATTTATAATGTTCTTATTTACGTGTACTTGTTAATGGAAACTAAAACAAAATTCTTAATTTTCATTAGAGGAAATTTTTTAAATGCTTCCTCATCAGCATTAACTACCTCCAGTCCAATCTTTTTTATAAATTTCACCGGTATCTCAGAATTAGAAGGAACCTCAGAAGCTATATATAATCAACCCACTTCTGGGGAAAAAAAAAAAAAAACTTCTCTCCAATACAGCCAACAGGAGTCATCCAACTCTTGTTCAAAGTCCTCCACTAAGGGGGAGCTCACTACCATGCAATGGGGTAGCTCATTGTTAGGAAGTTTTCCCTGACATCAAGTATAAATTTACCTCTTTGCATCTTTTACCCGTTCCTCTCCAGGATGCTGGAGAGTTCTGCTCTTTGGTAGTGTCAAAGGCTATAAGACATCAGAGAGGATAATCAAATGTTTCTTGCGTAAATTACTATTCTTGGGGCAGCTAGGTGGCACATTGGATAGAGCACTGACCCTGGAGTCAGGAGGACTTGAGTTCAAATCCACATGACACATACTAGTTGTGTGACCCTGGGCAAGTCACTTAACCCCATTGCCTAACCAAAAAAAAGAAAAGAAAAAAATTATTATTCTTTATTGCACTGGGCAGGTGAGAGAGGGAAAATGAAGGGAAACTCTAAGGACTATTGAATCCCAAACCACTTCCTCAGGGGATCTTTCTGTCCTGAGACCTGCACAGAGTCCTCATTCATTGACCAACTTCATGGAACTCCTCAGGTTCCTGGTAGATCAACATTTAAATCTGTACTTCTCTCTCACAGTTTTCGCCATTTGGGTCAATCTCCATTTAATATGAAAAACTGTGAAAAAGCAATCATGTTATAATTGTCATGGTGTCCCAACTAAACAAAGAGAGGAGAGACTAGGAAAAAGTGATGCTGAGAGAGAAGTGAACAGAGCTGAAAGATTTATGCTTGCTGTCATTTTGCTGAAGATTCTGAACTCTGTGTACTTCCTACTTACATGAGAGGAAAGATAAAATCAATCAGGATGATTAGAAAGCTAGGAAGTCCATGATCAGCTGATTTATCATCATCACTCATCTTGCATATGGACCTGGGTCCTTAGCACCTAATTTTGGAATGAAGAGACGGAAGCAATAAAGAGCAACCTGGTGACTGAAAAATTTTGGTTCTGCTCATGAAAGACAAAATATTGATAATTCTAAAATTGATACTGTCAAGATTATATGGACCATGTTCTCTATGCTCTACAAAAATAATGCCAAACATATGTCATAGTGAACACAAATATTATTGCAAAAAAATGAATGTTTTTCTTCTTTTAGGTTCTGAGATTTAAGAAAAAAAACGTACTTCAGAGACTAAGAAGTCGGTTTAAATGAGTTCTTTAATAAGTTAGTTCCCTCATAGTTAAGTTGAGAGGGAAGAGGAAGGTTTTATACTGTATCCTTCTTATAAGAGACAGTGAGGTTTAATGGAAAGAGCTGATTTGGGAGTCAGAAAGTCTGGGGTTAGATTCTAGTTCTGGCATTTACTATGTCACCTTGAGTAAGTCCCTTAAGTTCTCTGAGATTCAGTTTGGTCTCCTACTAAAAACAAACAAACAAGGATTAAATTAAATAATAGTTATATTGAGTGTGCACTCTGTGTGTCTGAATGCTAGAGATACAAACAACTGCCTGCCCTCAAGGCACTTACATTTTACAGGAGGAGAGAGAATAATATTTTCACTTCTTATGTCACAGGATTGCAAAAATCAGATAAGATAGTGTATGTGAAAAGGCTTTGAAATCTTA